TCTTATTTTGTGATTAAATAGGTTTCTCCATCCCTCTGACCCATTCCTGGTAGTAAATCTGAGAGTCTGGCTTTACATCTCTTTTACAAGAGATGGGTGATGGAGAATCACTTTTAAAAAAATCGTTTTTCTTGTCATCTCAGTGCTTTAAATAGGTGGCTCAGCTCTATGGGCGTCCTGGTTGACAGCTCTGGCACCAGATTTCAGCAGCAGTCCATAGTACTCGCTGCGGCAATGCATAACCCCGTCCCACTCGTCTCACCCTTCCTTCCCTGAGGAAGATACAATTTTTGGCAAAGCAAAAGTATCCTCACAAAAGCCCTGATACGTTCCGCCACTAAAACTCGTCCCCTGCTAGCTCCTTTGACAGCTGCCATGAGTTCCCCGGTCCCGTCCGGGATCTGACCCAGCATCAACAGACCAGTGGTCTCGCTTAGGGCACCCCTGTCACCCAGCAGGGTTACAGATATTTCTGCTTTGACATTTGACATCGACACAAGCAAATGTTTTAATCACAACTTTTATCTATAACCATGTTTTGGACAGATAATGGCAACAACAGTCTGTGGCTATCAGTCAACATTCGAGACCCAGAAATACCCTCAGCTGGTTTATTACCTGCCCTTAGTATCAGATGCTACTAACTCAGGTCGCCAGCACGAAGCTGCAGGGATGCAGGTAAGGTGTAGGTGAGGAGGTCTCATGCTTTTTGGTATCAGGCTGGTCGACCCCTTCCTTCCCCCTGCACAGCAGTGTCATTGCACGTGGTTTAACAGATGCTGTCCTGGGTGGTGGGATGAGCACCCTCCTTGCAAAGCTTTGTCAGCACCCCAAGTACCCTAAGTGGATTTTTTTTTTTTTTTCATCTCTCTGCAGCACTACATATTCAAAACAACAGGGTTCAACTTGGACTCCTTAAACTTTGACCAGAGCTGGGACAATAAAAATGCAAACTATTTCCAACTGCAAAAGAGGAATTTGCTTAAAAATAAAACTGAATTTTTCACATACCCTTGGCTTTATCTGGAGAGCAGTCTGGACAGTAAGACACAACCACCAGCACAAACAGGATCCCAAATATATTTAAAGACCAAAAGAGCCTCTCTACACTCGGGTGACGATGGTGCTTCATTTGGATCTGCTTTCCAAACACTTACACAGCACCCCCTTCCAATCACAACATGCCACTTTGAAATGCCAGTACCACTTAGCTCCTGAGTCTATTAGACCATGAAGCAATAAACCCAGAGAAACAAAAATAACCCAGATACCTACTTTAGCACCCAGTTGAGTTGACAGGTGTTATCCCGAGGGCTCCGTGGCAAAAGCATCCTCAGAAATGCCATACCTTGACCTTTGCACAACAGGCGTCATGAAGCTGATCTCCCAAAACCGTAGTGTCTTCCTAAAAGGTGCTAATATTAACTATAGCCCTTTGTTTCTTTGCACTCAAGGTTTCTCCCCGTCAGCTTTCTGGCATTTGCCAGCGTGGTGCACGCTTTACTGGGCAGATATTGAGCTGCAAATTCCTTCATACTTCTCTATCCACAGCATTCTGCAGCTAAAGCGCTAGCCGGCCAGCAGATGAAAATGCCACTTACTGCTTATTCCTGCTGCAGTTCGTTGAATTAAAACCTCTTTGTTTGCAAGCTGTAAACAAATTCTTCTTAATCTTTCAATAAAAAATGTCAATTATGCTCTCTAACAATGTAACTTCATTGTGATGAAAGAAGGCATTGCTATTGCTCTAATCGTGATAACATATCAGCTGCTTTTAGAGTCAATTCCTTTTTGTGCAAAATTTAATGACCATGCAATTATTCAAATTTCAGGCTAACAGACTGGGCTTTAGACCTACAGCGCTGCTCCCTTGCTCTGAAAACACACACTTGAAAGCAACAGAAAAGTCTCTAGAGCAGAATTTCCGAGTTCAGAACGCAAAACACCTTTACAACTCATTCAGCACAGCCGGACTCAGGCCCGCGTTAAACACAGCTACTTCGCTGGAGAGCCAAGGAAAGAAAGCCAAATTCTCGGCACGCTATCGCAGGCGCTTCTCAGGCCCATGGCTTTCATTTGGCTTCACTGGGAACCGTGTTTATGTCCAGCTTCCTCATCTCTCTCTGGTTTCAGTGCATTTCCTGCAGAATCGCTGGCCACAGCAGATGTGCCCTTCAGGCATTCCAACTTTTTTTTTTTTTTTTTTTTTTTTTTCCTCATGCCAGTATTTATCCCATTTGTTTCCAGAATCAGCTGCAGCTCCCAAATCAGCGTCCGTAACTTTCTGCTTTGAAGTATTCAGGACATGCCTGCTAGGAAAGCATCTTCCTTGTTTACCTGCTCAGACCCTCACAGACTTTCCCTCCGTGCCCTTCCGCCATCCATTTTCTCCTCCTGCACAGAGCTCCCCTCTACGACGAAGTTGTCCATCACCAGCTAATCTGCTCCATTAACCGCTTACGTTCCAATAACCGCCCTCGGCATCCTACCGGGGCTTTATTTATGCTTTCACACAGCCACCGCCAGAGATGGCTGCTGCCCCAGCATCCCAGCTCACCCCATAAGGTGCCTTTCCCCCCCCCGGCGAGGGAATGCCTGTGCTAAAACTCAGCCCCGCGGGTCTCATCCCCTCCACACCTCCCTGCTCTCCAACTCTCTGTGGCAGCAGAGGACAGCCTTTTTTCACTCCCAGGAGGGGACGCAGCCTGCACCGATGAGGACAGTCCTCTGCAATGGCCTCGCAGGCAGCGCTCCCAGTCCCGCAGCTGAACAGACGGCCCAGCATCACCGTGTGACTTGGCACTGGCCGAGGGGACCGGGGACTTCCCAGGTGCACAGAAACCCTTGGCAAGCTGAACACCCGCACAGCAAGCGGCAAATTCAGAACAAAACCAACCCTCCAGGAAAGTAAACTGAATCAACAACACTGGTGGTTTTGAGAAGGGAACCCTGGTATTTCTGAAATGCCCGAGGCTGGGGGCTAGAACTCACCTCCAAGCCCAAAGAAAAGGGATGCCAGTAAGGTAGCAACCCCACTGCCTCCTTCCCCATCTACCCTGTCCACAAACCAATAAAAAATGAACCAGTTTACTGTTACATCCTTGAAGAGTCCTTGTAATTCGCTACTTTTAATATCTCACACCTTGCATTGCTGTCATCCCTTCTCTCCGCTATGATGATTTACTTTAAAGTTGTTCTGATGTGCAATAACAAATCTATGGGGAAGCTTTGACTGTTGATGTGCCAGACTCTTCACACATCTCTCCCCTCCTCTCCAAACAGCCTTTATCCTTCCCAACAAAGAGAAAAGAAAATCTTGTGGCAGCAAAACAGTCGTAGTCACCCCCCATCTTCTTTTTTTTTCTTTTTAATATATCTTTGGTCTGTATTTTGTTGGGTTTTAACCTATCCTTTTCCAGATAAAAATAAGAATTCTGGGTTTTGAGGGGTTTGGGGCTTTTTCTGTCTTTTGTTTTTGTCTAACCAGTCAGGAAAGATCAAGGATGAAAGGACCTTTCACTCCCTCAGCAAGCTCCTGCTTCCTCAAGTTCCCCAGGATTTGGGCCCTCAACTCCTGCACAAGAGACCTCCAGCCTGGAGCCCTTTGTCCATTTTCCTGTAGCAAATTCCTTGTGCCAGTGGCAAGGGTTTTCTGGAGGAACCCATGTTTACCACGTTTCTTACCAAAACTGTTCTCTCTTCACAGCAAGCACCTTTTACCATCTCTAGAGGTGCCTGGGCTGCCTGAGGCCCTTGGACAAAGGGTGTAGACGAAGCATAAGGCAGGGTAGGGGAAGGGACTGGCACCTGGAGGGTGTTAAAAAGTATGCAACAAGACCAAATTTATTTTGGCATTCCCCTCTCAGATAGACATGACCCATCACGTTTACAGCACCTTCAGTGTACACCTGCAATATGATAGTATCAATGAGAGAGGGGGAAAATATTAATTAAACTTCTGTTGTTTTTATCTTTACATCAGCTTTACAGAGTGGATGCAGTGCTGGGACAAAGCTGACATTTGATTTCCCTTCCCACTCTCACCCCAACAGGCCATCCATATTCATGTATAGGAATAGGTCTTTTTTTATTATTATTTACAAAGAAAAACCCCAAACATCTATCTCTTGACAAGCTACCCACTTGACAAGTCTGAGAAATGCTCTGGATAAGCCCTCAGTGAGTGCCCGAAGCAGTGGACTTGGACTAGAGAAAGTTTACCTATAGCTGGACAACATTCACTGAATCTCCCTCACTCCCTGCCTGCCTCCCTCCCTCCTCACCTACTGCTACAGTGACACTGTATCTGTGACCCCCCCAAAAAGCCAGCCCATTTCACCAAATGCAAAGAAACAAATCACAACAATACTTTTTTTTTTTTTTTTTACACTGATCTGCTAATCCTATATAATATCGATTTCCCAAGAAGGGAGATTATGTTAATCAGGATTTCTGAAGGATTTACACATGATCCTATATTTACTTTTGAACTTTGTCAGAGTGACAAAGAGAATATGTCACCACTGAGCTGCTACTGCATTTTCTCTGGATTACGAGTCAAGCACCAGCGCTGTCCAAATCTATAGCCACCAAAATGTCTCTCTAGCAGGCAAATCAAAATATTTAGGATCATCTTTTCCCTGCAGATAAAAGGGTAACTGCAACCATCTACCGGGAGTTTCTGAAAAGCACAAACCTTAGTACCTCCACCCAGCAATACTTCTATCACACCTGTGATTTAAAGATCTTTCAACGTTCCAAATCAAATGTATGACCTAGATCTGAAAAAGGATGTTCAGGTCTTCAAGAAGCATCAAAACAAAATCAGTAAATTCAAGGAATACTCAACACTGAGAGGAGGGAAGATCCACAAAACACACAGAAATGAAGCATCACAAAGCTATCCAAAAAGCAGTAGAAAAGCACATCTAAGATGTGAAACCAGAAGAATCTAATTTTATTTTAAATTTACTAACAACTTCATATGATGAATTGTACTACATAATTTTCAGCATATCATATGCTGTATTACATTTAATGGAAGGCCTCTACTTTTATTTTCAGCCAGGGCTTTAATCTGAATCACCTTATATGATGTGCAGAGGAGGGTTTTGGTCCAGTGGCTTAAAATCTATACAAGGGAGATTGCAAGTTTGCAACAGTCCTTGAGTTTCCACAAGTCGACATAACCAGGAGCATGATGCTGCATCATTACCCAGATGGAGAATGTTCTGGTTTAGAGTCAGCCGAAGCATCTGTGTGTTTATGGGATCCCTGGGAAACTACGAGGGAAGTTTGTGTGCTCGGTAAAATCCCGCAGTAGCCAATCCTTCCCTTCTCCAGGGCTGCCCAGTGAATCTTTGCTCATTCCCTTTCAGAAAGCAGCAGCCTTCCCAGCTTGGATGCCATCTCCTCGCCTGGCAGATGCGTATCAGAGCCGCGTGGGAGCCGCCTGGCTTCAGAGCAAGCCAGCAGCCTGCAGAAAAGGCAAGTGAATGTATGTCCTGGGCATTAGAGACCTCAACAAGAAGCTGTAGGTCGCAGAGCACTTTGTGAGCAGTTTCAGGTTCATGTGATCGGATTCCACAACACCCACAGACTCACTGGTAAAAAACTGCAGAGGCAAAAAAATATTATTGTGTGGGCCTAAACTACTGCAGAAAAAGAATAACGGCTGCTGAGGTGAAAACTGACTCTGTGCAAATATTTAATTGCCAAAGACGCCTAAAAAACCAAAGCAATACAGGATTGCTTTCTAAATTTAAAGCAAGGATCCATGCAAGGGGTTTACCTTGTTTAGGATAAAAGTGCAAAAGATACTCTGCACCATACTCACGTGGCCATCCTGGGGCAAGTCCATGGCACCTCATTCCAGGTACACAGAGACACACTTCATCCACAGGTGCGCTTTCGCAGATTAGCACAATCCACTCCCCCAAAAAAGGACCCAAAACTACACAGATAGTACAAAATTTCAAAGTGCCAAGGGGAGAAACAGCCAATGCAGAAGAGCTATTCTAGGACCCACATAGCCCCAGGACCTGATGTTTTTTTCTTCTATTACCCAGCCCCTCTAAATTTAGCCCCTTCATCACCAGGAAAAAAATATCCGTTCCAAATAACTCTGCCCCCACTACATAGCAAGCTTTGGTTTATGCAGCTCTGTGGATTCTGAAATATAAAGAAAAAGTAAGATATTAAGTTTCTCGACAAAAGGAGGGAAACACTAAACGTAATACGAGTTCACAACTTGTCTCTTCCCAACTGTTTAGTATAGTGAGCTCAGTACCATGAGGAATTCCTTCAGAAGTGAAAGTTATTTCCAAGCCCTATTTTTTATCCATCCAGCGACTCCGACACAGACACAGAGTTGTTGACATGTTTCTTTTAAAAATGACAAAATGGGAAGCGTCTGTAGCTTCAAATGTTGAATTTGCTATTGCTAAATTTAAACCCATCAGCCTTGCTACAGATTATTACACAAACCCAACTGCTTATCCCCCTGCACGACAGTTACTTTTGACCTGACTAGGCTTAAAGCACATTTCTTGGCCTCACTTTCTGCTGCCAGTCTGAAAGGAAGCAAATACCCAAGAAGAGAGGATTAAAGGAGATACAGGAATACTTGAAAACAGAGAACAGCAGGCTACAGATCTGCTGCTTCTCTGTACCATATTATTGTTTCAGTTTATTCCAAAATGGTTAAATCACGTGAGGGACATTTGGTCACACAAGGGCACGGGCTCTATCTGCAAGCCATCTTCATAATAACTGCAATGCTGCTGGGTACTGTTATAGATACGTCTAAAGAAAGCTCCCACTTGTCTGCATGTTCTTCCCACAACTCAGAAGAGACACTAAACAGAGAATCAAAGGCTCACAGCGTCACAGATTTATTATCAACAGACTACAGACAGGCAGAGCAGAAAGCAACAGAAAATGAAAAACAAGGATAAACTCCTTTCCACAAAATGAAAACTATCCTCTCATGAACAGGCAAGGAGATAACTGAAGGAAAACAAAGAGAAGAATTCCAGAAATTCAGGTGATTTTTCTTCTCTCTACACAGCTATTTTGGCAGGCCAAAGATGAACAGATTTGATACTTTCTACGTAGCCCTGACATAGACACAGCAGACCCTGTAGCTGCTTCTACATTCTCTTTTTCCCCAGTATCAAAAGAATCAGTCACAGTCAGAATCCATCCAGCATTGGTTGAGGTTTATGTGCACTCAGATGCACTAACGTATTTTGACATAAACTGGTATTTTGTGGAATAATTTTTTTTTCTTTACATTCATCATTAAACATGCCTCCCGTACTCAGGGAAGTATTACATTACAATACACTTGCAACCAGTGTAGCAGAGGGGGGGGAGCATCACTGACCAAAGTCCATTAATTTATTTTACCTGCAAATTTATAGTAAAACCTGTGAAGCATTGAACAAATATGTCCACTAGATAGGTGCAGCATCAGGATCTCAATATTCCTTGAGCCAGGCTAAGCCAAAACTAAACCACACACAAATCCTAAGAAACTGGTGATAAACTCAGTTGTGGTGCAGTAGCTTAATTAAGGCATTGTAAAAAGACATATTTGGGGTTGATTTGTTTGTTTGTTTGTTTAGTTTTCACTCTCCCATGTGCATTATAGGTGCATTGCATGAAGTACAGAACTGAGTAGATTGCAGTATGCCAAGACACAATGCCAGTGGGGAGCAGAAACACCTGATCCAAGTTATCAAAGGACAAAAATCCACAATCCTGGTTGGTGAAAAAACACCTGCTCCCTGAAAACGGGTACCTGTGTACTGGTGTCTGGCAAAGCTATCTTGAATCACCGCTCAGCAAATCTCTAGTGCACACGCCTGGCAGTGCTGAAATGACTTGACCTCTCACTTTTACTTCTGTCCAACATTATGCAATCTTTTTGCTACTGCAGTGATGAGGGCAGCTCCCTTCCCACTTCCGTCTTCAGAAAGCATGAAAGTCACATCACACTGAGGTGCCAGTTCCTTCACTGTTTCCCGCAGGACCCTAGAAAAACTGGAAGGAAAGGGAGAGGAGAACAGAACATTTTGTCAACTGCTTTCTGGTCTGAGATCTTGATCTATTAGCAAGGAACCATAACCTCAGTCAACACCTTCCACTGGTTCTCCACAGCACCCCTTCCTGTTTGTTTTTCCTCCTATTCATGAAAGAGACAAGTTTCTGCACACAATCAGATTTTAATTTCTATTTCTCCACTTTAATTTTGTTCAGCGTGATGCCAGATGTCCCCCTTGCCTTTAGAGATCACAGAGGAGGCTCTCTTCTCCCAACTCAAAAGCTAACGCATCTACTTCTAGAGCTTGATTACAAAATATTGACCCAACTCCAAAAACTCAACACAGTTTTTCATCTGGGACACCCAGATAATGCAGAAATTCCTCCAAACATCGGAAAATAAATGTTAGAAGAGTAAGTTCACTGAAGACCCCAGATAAAAGAGTTTCCCAGTGGTAGCTGGACTTGACTTTGTAATTTTTGATCCTTTGGATAGGCAAGGGATGCAGGGAAATTCATTAGATCTTTATCCCCTCTCTCACTTTTTATCATCTTGGCAGAAAGCTGGTCCAGCTCAGTATGTTTTTACAGTGGAAACAAGCAAACAGCAAAGGGAAGCGCTACCAAGGCACTACTCACTGTGGATGGAGCTTGTACAAAGTCCCATCTACTCCAACGGTGATTTGCAAGTGCTCCACACCTTGGTTTTCTCTCTTCTTCTCTACAATAGCTGCCAGTCCTGCCCCGCAGAGCTGGGCAGCTCTTTTTGAAACAGCTCCACACACCTCTTTGACAATGATGCTGTCTTCACACGTGCTGTCCAGGCCGAGCTGCTGCAGAATTCTCCGGACTTGGAGGAGGGCAAGGCGGTCGCTGTGCAGAGGGAAACATGTGCGGCAGCAAGGGGTCAGAGGCAGCTTTGTCAGGCGTGCAAATGAAAGTCTTACAGCTGAGACTCTGCCACGATTCAAGGGAAATGGGACCACTTCTCCAACTCTAACACTCTCCGATTGTTTTCTCGCAGATTCAAGTCTGAACTCCGATTAAAAACTCGCTCCTGGAATGCCCTTTGCTATGTTAGACTGTATTTCCAGAAGGCACAAACTAATTATTCACCTAACTCCCAAAGTCAGGAGGCAGCTGAGCCAGATCAGCCAGCTGACGGCGTTACTGTTCACCTCAAGGATGAGACACTGCCTCCCAAGGTTTTCAACAGTATGAAGGGTTTCCAATAGCCTGGAAGACCATTGCAGTCATGCACAGATATGTAGGTAAGTCTATATTCATGGAGCATTCATATATCACTGACTTTTTATTTTTTAAATAAGTACTATTTTAAGTCCTATAAGAAACACTCCAAGTATAATCATGCTTGATGGTTAAGACAACCAAGATAACACAGCTGTGTGGAAAGGAAATAATTTTTATAATTACAGAATAATTCTGGAACTTCCCCAGTTCTTCAGTTTTGGCTTTTACTCTGGGGATGGATGGGGTGGGGGGAGGTACGCAAAGAAAAAAACTACAATCGACTTCTTGAAAGAAAGGGCTGCACACACTTGCAGAAGATTATTTTCTAGGGCTCCCAGAAGACCTTAAAGATTTAAACCATGGAAATCTAACTTTACCTCTCAATCTGAGACAGGAACTTTGTTTCAAATATGCCTCTTTTCCTGAGTGATTCCGAAATCTGTCCTCTGAACAGCAGTCCTTGTTTGGTTAAGTCAATCAAAATTTGCCTTACTATTTCACCTAGGTACATTCCACTGGTCATTTTTTCATACCTGTTACATTATAAAAGAAAAAAAAAAAAGTGGTATGTACATGCCCTACGAACTCTCAAAAAAGCAGTAAAAGCTCTCAGAGCAATAGCCACTGAACTCCATCTTTCAACCATCACAAATCCGTTGCAGTGACTTCGAGTGCAAACATTGATTACAACGTATTTACCTACATTAAAAGGTAACAGAACTAGAAAAAGCACTTTCAGTATTAAACAGAACAGGATGTTAAAGCCAGAGTCCACGCTGAAGTGGAACATTTCCCTGTCCCTGCCATGCATTCACCAGTGAGTCATACGTAATACATGCTCTCTTTACCAAGCAAAGAATGGTCAAGTTCAGTTTATCCTCTTGCACAAGTGTATTTTACCTTTGAAAAAAAACACTGCAAGAGGAGGAATGCAACAAGGCCTACACTTTCCAGGGACATCTTTAGAGGTGCACTCTTTGCTAACTGCCCTGAGGTGAAAACAGTGCCGTAGTAACAGAAACAATGTACGGCGTTGGGCTTTTCCCGGCTATCTGCATTACTTACCACACAACAAATGACACCTAATACTAAAATCTCCTTTCTGATTATTCAGCCATTAAGCACATTTTTAAACAATCAGCGTGTCTTGGAGACTGACTTCATCAGGCTCTTGGCATCAGGACCATCACGTTTACCTCTGTTTCCCTGGGTTTAGTGAACCTTCATCTACTTCTTTATCGTATTTTGTTCTGATGTTGTCAATGCAGCCGTTGTCACCAAATCCTCCCCATTCTGTATTAATGCACATTTTTCCTTCATTCCCTTCCACTATTTCTATGTTTTTCATGTCCTCCATGTAGCACACATTGCTGCCTGTTCCTAGGAGGAAAGAAATGACAAGGCTTCAGACAGAAGAGTGAAGTAGCAGCTGAAACGCATGGAAGACGATTGCAGCAATCATCTTAAAAGATCTCTTCTCCATATCCCAGATTTCCAAGATCTCTCTCTATCTCACAGAAGCAAGTGCTATAGTCAGTAATTCTAAGAGTGCTGTAATTTATCACAGCAGAATGTTACCAAGCAAAATGGGTCCTGTGTAGAAAATTTACAGCACAGAGGAATGAAGACTCTCCGTTACAGGTCAGAAATGGCTTTGGCAGTCGGTGGCGAGCACTGATCAGTCCCTGCTGCCAGTCTGGTTGTAATGCACCACACATCATCTTGCTCCCAAAAGCAAACACTGCCAAGAGCCTCGCAGTTGGTCAAGCAGCTACCAAGTCTGAAATGATTTGGTGAACAGGGCTCACCACTTGCAACATGGGTTACATTAACTAATATAAGGATCAGTTCTCCAAGCAAAATGAAATAGCTGGTGCACTTAGCCAGCCAGAAGAGCCTATTTTCCAACTGAGGCTTCAGATCTTATATGCTTAGATGTATTTCTGGCTGAATACCTGCAAGGACCTACTGGGGGAATCATCTAGCAAGCCTAAAGGGAATTAATTCAGGTTTAAAAAAAATACTTTCTTGTTCCAAGGCCTATGACCTGACTACACAGTAAATAACAACACACTTGTCAAAACAAAGGATTCATGCTCTATCTGCTGGTCTCATATTCTTTACCATGCACACGCTTGTTAGGCACCATCAGAGGTATGATCAAAAGTTCAACAGATTCAGAATCTATCTGCTACAGCTGTTATGTTCTCTGTTGAATACCATAAACATCTGCCAAGAGCCTCAAGTGACTAGTAACACCATATATCAAATTCAAGTGAAAGGTGTTGTTTAACAAATTCCCAAATAGGGCGTGGAGCCTAGCACCTGCATACAGGCTTTCTTCTTCCAGTGGTCCCTTCAACATCACTGTACCTGCGATAAGGCCAATCTCACAGTTTGGATCCTCGTATCCACATGTCATCATTGTCCCAACGGTGTCATTCACCACTGCTACAATGTCCAAGTCAAACTCCTAAAACACAAATCACAGTCAGTAGCAGGGTCCCGGAGGAATGGGAGGGTGCATCAAATACACCAAAAAGAACAGAAAACAATAGCTCACATTTCTTCTCCTGATGGCCTCTCTCAGCATATCAACAACATCCTCCCCCTCGCAGTCTGTTGCCTTGAAACCTTTTGTCCATCCCACAAGTGTTCCCTGAAACAGAAGAGGAAGAAAATCATAAGTGAAGATAGAGAGAAGACCGTACATTCCAAGCGTCAGTCTTTTCTTGTCTACAATCATGGCCCTTCTTTTTTTTTTTTTTTTTCTTAAATAATGTATTTCCCCAGACAGGTTACTGTGAGTGTCTACTGCAGTGTGTGCACGGGTATCTTTGTTACTCAGCTGCTGATGGCAGTGAGTCCAGGTTTACTCAGCTATTTTTCAAGACACTGCCAACTGAGAGCCTTCTAACACTCATTTGGAAAACCTCATCTCACCTCCTGTGCACATAGCCATTGCATTACCTGTGGAGGAAAGACTGTAAAAAATACTTTTGCTGTAAATAATTAGACACCCAACAAACATTAAAGAACATCTACTGTTAATTTTTGACTCATTTACTGAAGGACACTACTCCAGGCAACACTGATTTTTTTTTTCTTTTTGGACAGCAACCTGTCCTGATAGAAGAAGATTTCCAGGTTACATGAAGTAATTAACCTCCCACTCGGTGACTGGCTCTGGACTGTCTGTCTAAATAAGAAAAAAAAGAGGGCAACTGGGAAGAAAAGCTGCCCTTAAAAAACCCTCAAGTTCTAGTAAAAGACCAAACACACAGGGCAACATACTATGGGACTCTGACACAGATGTGTCTCAGTTTGCCACCACTGCTGTGCAATTTGTTTCCTCATCATTTGTCAAGACCTAAATACTATGCTGTAGGTTTGGAAGGCATGAGTGGTGTCCCCACAAATAACCAAGTCCTGTTGCTATACTCTCAACTGTGACCTGAAAATGGAGACAGAGCAGACTAGCTTCTAGACTTAGAAGCTACTGTGAAACCCACCAGGACATAAAAACATTCAATAAAATAGCAGTCTCTCATTTATCCAATACCCTACGTATTTGACTGGAATTAAGCAGCACAACCTCCCTTGCCCATCCTTAATGCATCGAAATAACTGAAAATTATTTCTTCTTGAACTTGATTTTTTTATTCTATTTTTTTCTTACATCAGATATGGAAAGATAAAGATATGATATCTGTCAAAAACTCAACCCTTCCAAGCTGAACAAGCAAGTCTAGTCCTGCCCTCTGACACACAACACAAAGAAACTAAAGTAGTGCAGAAATTATACAGAGCTGTGCAGCACAGTTAGGAAAACACCCTGGGATTATAGCTGAGCAAGTAGAAGGAGGCATCTGTTCCCTCTTGCCATTGAAGACTTAAGGCAGCATAAGAGATTCCTGGGCTATTAAAAATAGGTTGTCGTCTATCTAGTCAACTATCATAAGGGCTTAGTCTTTATAGAATAAAAGCAAGTAACATCCATCTCTTATCAGATACAAGAGGTGAAAGTTCTACCTCCCATAGGCATACAGGATGATAAGTTTCTCATGAAAGACAACTAATTTGCACAGTAATTAAATCCCCATAAAATGGGTGAAAAATTCTCTTCAAAGACTAATTTATACGCACATATATATATGTCTATATCTATCTATAGATACAGACGTCTTTTCACCATTGTAAAGCCCTACTTGCAAGAAAACATTCCGAAGAACAGCTTTTTGCTTGAAATCTCCAAACCAACGAGTGACCCCCACCCACAATGATGTCATTTACCAAGCAGATGCACAGCTGCCAGTGGAGCCATTCTTGGTGCAGTTCTTACCTTGTCAATGCTGGCTTGTCTGCACGGGAAGGAGAAGGTGAAGCCCAGAGGCAGTCGAGCACCTTTAATCCCCATATACTCCAGAAAGTCTGCTATGCACTGGACAATATGGTCAAAGAGCTGAAAGGAAAGAAAAGGCATATAAATCTCACAGTAATCCCACGCAGTGGGCCTTGGCTGGATCAGTTAGACATTATTAGAGGTTACCTCTTCCCCTGTCCCTTGCATGATCTCCAAAGGAATGGCAAAGATTTTGTTATACATTTGCACTGATCTTCTTCTCCCGCTTCTGATTTTGACCAGCAGAACCCTGAAATTTGTCCCACCGAGATCAAGGGCAAGGAACTTTCCTTTCTCTGTAAGAGAGGAAATATTTCATTTTGGTGCTTCTCAAGGCGCGTTTGCCAGACAGAATGGCATACTCTACCACACATCCCCAAGCAACTTCATCCGCGCCAACGACAGCACACTGCTCCCGACGGCATTTGTCCCACCAGTCTGCTAGCATGGAGCTGAAGGGCCAGCCAGATAACGCTGCAAGAAGCACTGGTTTGCCAACATAAATCCCTGGCATTTCCCAGAATAATTGGCATATTCCCCCCAGAAAACAGACAAGCAACTTTCCCGAACCACCTCCAGGTGATCAGGAAATGACTTCACCTGTTCCATCTGGTGTCCCACAGACATACGTGGGTAACATCTTCACTGAGGCACTGGCTTGTGTCTCTCGCTTTAGCCCATATTCCAGCTCAGTCCTCATTTTGTTCTTAACTTCTTGGAGGGTCTCCAGGGACAGCAGAAAAGGTGCGAGAGCGGCATCGATTCGCTTGCGCTGAGCGGCCAGCCTGTATGCCACCGCTGTGACCATGGCAGCCCCCTTCCCACTGCCGCTCACAGAGAGGAGGAACCGAACATCACAGTTTGGGACCAGCCTTCTCACCACCTTGTGCAGACGTTTGGCATATCTAGGGGAACAATGAGACTCTGGCAGGCACTTCACACACGGTTTACTGCACATACGCTTCCGATACAGGCACACATCCAACAGCACAAGTGCTGAAGCACAGTCAAGAGGAGCACAAGGTCAGAGACCAGCCTAGGAGATGGGTACAATGATCCTGATTTCTGGCTATTCTGCAGAAGCTGTACACTTACAGAAAGGGGAAAATACCTCTGAACAAGTGCCAGTGCCAAGGGAGGGGGACACTGGGAAAAAGCCAGACAAAAGCGGAGAGTCACAATCACAAACAGAAGTGGGAGTCTAGAGTTCCATCCAGTATAGGAAAGTTTCCAGTTCAAAAATGGGGGAGAGAGGGGGAAGAAAGTAAAGAAAAAAACCCACAGTGAACTACAAGTGCCCTGGAGGCCCAAGAGTCACTTGAGGAAACGATTGCTCTTCCCCAGACACCATTATCCCACGTGCCATATTGTTCCCACCCCAAGTTCTAAAGCTCCCGAGACAGCTTTGCAATAACTAAGCCAGTCTGATCCTCCGCACTCCACCAGATCTCACCCCAACCCTGCAGCAAAACCAGCAGTTCTCTGCAAAGCCACATATATATGCAGATGGAGACTTTGCAACATCAACATGTGGCCAGCAATTACCAAATCCTCTTTAGTTACTTACTGGGGGTGAGTTTTATAGAGTCCCCCATCAATCCCAACCGTGGTTCGCATCCTTAACAGTTTTTTATTCTCTCTCAGTCGGGTCAGGATGGCTGCTAAGGCAGCAGCACAGAGGTTGGCCGAGCGGAAGGAAACGATGGTGCAGACATGCTGCACGGCGATGCAGTCCTCTTCAGAGGGAAACAGGTTCAGCTCTGTAAGGATCTCTTTTGTGTTGCTCAGACCTTCCTTGTATCTACCCCAAAACAAAGGAATACATCATCCGATGCAAGGACATTAAGGCAACATGTAAATCAATATCTGCATGTCAACTCAAAAAGAAATGAGGGAAGGCCAGGGCACAGCCTATCAGGCAACATCATAATTGGTTCCCGTAAAGCAGTCTTTCCCACACTATTTCCAAAAGTACCCAGGGGAGAGAGCAGACTTTCAAGATGCTGCTTCCTGGGGTTCAGTTTTTGGTGAGACCTACCAATTAGCTAGCCAAGAAGAGAACAGGATTAAACATTTAGTCCATAGAAGGAGAGCATAGGAATAGATGTACAGCTTCACTCAACGCAACAAAGAAAATTATTCCTGAAGTAACAATGAGGACCAGGATTCCTCTTCAAAACACCAGAATCTGTCAGTTTTCCACATAGTCACCCATTAGCTGACCCAGAGTCGGGACTACACCTTCACAGTATTCCCACATCACAGAAGCTGAAAACTGCAACAGTCATCCCATGTACTCAGGTCTCAGAAAAGGTTATTTAAACAGCCTGCACCTGTGATGGTTAACAAAGTATTTGCCACTGTGGTACTTTGCTACAACTTTATCTTTCACCAATTCCTACTTACAGAAAGATCAACTTTTCTCCTAGGCAAAAGTAAAAATCAAGTTGGACAGTTCAGGATTCTTCCCAGTACTCACAGATTATAATTACACGTTCATTATCATTGCTGTGCTTGTGAAAGACTAACAGGCACTCTCAAACAACGTATCACCGGTTCTTACTTTTCCATTGCAGACACATGTTTCATTTCGATCTTGCCCTTAGTAAGCAGAGCTGTTGACACTTTCCCATTGAAGAGCAGACCCTCCTTTGTCATTTTTAGGAGAATGAGTCTTACAAGTTCGCCCAAATACAGGCTGCTGATCATCTTCTCAAACCTGGAATGGGGCACAGGAAGGATTACAGGTGTTCACCAGCTAGCCAGAGCTATGAGAAGTTCAGGTATGAGCATCTTATGTTCTCAGGCAGGTTGATCACATTTAAGGATGTACAAAGGGGGTTGAGAGCTATGCTGTAGATGGAATGCCATCCTGAGGTCCTGGGACCCAGCAACAGCCCCTCAAGATAAGTGAGTGATTTAAAGAGAATTTTCAAAAGACTTGGAAGCAGCTCAGCCTGTAGAAGCAGTTTTGATGAACTGTGAATAAAATATGCCCTTTGTTTACTTTCCTCCTCTCTCTATCCCTCCACAGTATCATACCAGAGTAACCACTGTTTTAACAACACACTAGCAACTGCAGCAGCCATCCCTTGGCCTTTGAGGCAGGGAGGTGTGATAGGTACCCACTCTTCCCAGAAAGGAAAGGTCTGGATAGGGCAGGACCAGGTTTAAGTCAACTTAGGTTCATTTAAGATGATTCCTGTTCCAAAGGGGCTTCTGGCATACGCTGGAAATGCACTCTGAGAACTCAGACTGCCGAGATAAATCAGCCAGGGAATCACTTACAATTGTCTTCCAGGATTGAGAGATCCCAGATCGAGCTCCCGATCAAACTCTGTGCGGAGGTCGTCCAAAGCACCATCATCTCCAAAGGCCCCCCACTCCGTGTTAATGCACATCCTGCCTTCATCACCTTCCACCAGATCGATGTGCCTCATTTCCTCCATGTAGCAGGCGTTGGTGCCAGTCCCTGTGTGTGTTGGAGACAGTGCGGATAAATTACCTGTTTGTTCAAGGTTTGCCTTTTATTTAAGTCCATGTGTTTGGGAATAAATCAGTATATTATCTTTGGAAGAAAATATAAATACATAGCTCTGGTACAGGATGCTAATATGAAGCCACCCGCACTTGTTAGTCATTTCACAGTGAGTGAAAAAAATCTGGAAATTAATCTAAGGCTTGACTTGTTTAAAAACATTTTTTCTTTTTCAAATGTACTTCTATGTGCCTTAAAAAAGTCACCACGGTGCATGAAGTGGAGACATTGTGGAAAGCATAGCTGATCCCAACTACCAGACGTGAGAGGAATTCAGCTTTCTCTGGACAGACAGACAGTAATTTTCTATACAGTCAGCAGAAAAGTTTAGTATGCTGGTCACAACTGAACCCAGACAAAATGGGGACTGTGGTATTTGATGGCAATGTGATCAGCATAAAAACAGCTGCTTTACAGAAGGCAGCCAGGCTTGAAAATCTGACCATTGTTTTTTCCATTTTCTTCCTGCTCATTCCTGTACTGGGACAGTCCCTTCTACTCCAGATATGTTAGGATTAAACAAATGAGGGGAAAAAAAAAATCCCTACTTAGTGAACAGAAAAAATTACCAATTATGAGTCCAACTTCACAGCGCTGGTCATCATATCCACAAGTCATCATGGTTCCCACAGTGTCATTGACCAGTGCCAAAACATCAACGTCTATGTCCTAATAGCATGAAGATGGGTGATTAACAGAAAAAAAGCTTAGGAAAGCCTCCTGGGTGTTAAAGCAACAGCATGCAGACATACTCCCCAGGTTGTACTTTGAAGGCCTGGCTCAGGAAAGCTCTTCAGCTGAAAGACATACTGCTTCCTTATATAACACTATCCCCACAACCCTGTAAAGTAAAAAACATCTCCAAATTCTCAGGTGCTTGCCTAGCCAGGACCTTTGCTTGCAGGATGTGGTTTTTCCCCAATCCAACCTTGTTTGCCAGAAAAGCGACATATTAATGGTTTGAATTTTGTGATATGCTAGCACCTGTGTATCTGTCCTTATGGGCTGCACGGTAGGATAACATCCTACCACCTGAACAGATCCCACCAAATGGTACAGAGAAATGTATGGATAAATGCAGCTATTCAACAGAAGGCCGTGCACCAATATCACACTCAAGCAAAAAGCCTTTCCATCAGAGCTGTGCAGTTTCCCTTTCACACTGAGATAACCCGATAAAGTAAAACCAAAGTAATCAAAGGATTCTTGTAACTCAGATGCCAACACTAGCAGGGGGCCGGACTTCACCCAGGAAGTCTCCGATCCTTTGTTCCTGCTAACTACAGCAAAACTGATGCAGAGACAGAACTGAACTAAAATCAAGGCTGGATTTTTACCATGCAAGAAAACAAAAGAATTTCCGCTTTATTAAAAAGATGTCAAGGTATGGAAAGATATTTTGTATTTCTTAGATGGTGTTACCAAGAGCACCAAACATGAAAAACAAGGCTTTCCAAAATATTAAAACTTAATGTTATACATTATAACATTGTTATAATATAATAATTATAATATAATTATATATATTATATTTTATTCAAAGGTATATGCTAGGTTCAAGGGCAGATTTAATCATGTCTTACTGCCAACCTTAAAAATTACAGCTGATTGCTCCATCCCACAGATCAAATGGGCGGGCAAACCCTGGCAGAGTTAGGTGTGCCAATCTGAGATGAGAGCTTCCCTCTCCTAACCTTCATCCCACAGGACAGGCTACAAAATACAGTGCGTATCCAAAACTTACCAAATGGGTTCACCACAGACCCCCTTTAGCCCAGCGAGGCCATACTGGTCCACGGACACAGCCAGCCTGGTTCATCAGTGGGCAGTTGCCATCACCGTTAGACTGACCCTGGGCAGCACAAGTTGCAACTTCTTGTTCCCTTCCATGGCTTCAGCTCCGAGGGAGAGACAGAGCTACTAGATATACAGCCATGTTGGACATTTGCTACTGGCTGTCTTTGACAGATGCCTGATAACTCCCAAAACAACCCACACACTAAGAGCTGATCTCCCAGGAGGACAATTTGGGGCCACTCAGGTTCAGCTCCTGCAGGTACAAAACTTGCCTTATGTTTCTGGAGGGCCTTGCGCAGAGAGCTGACCACATCTGTGTCCTGAACTCCACGGACCTTGAAGTGTTTCGTCCAGGCAAGAAGAACCCCCTGTAAAGTAACAGCCCGGTGACCCAAAAGCTCCAACTTTTGCATACAAACCTGTCACAAAGACAGCCAAGACTAAAGTCTGTGGAGAAGCCCAGTATGTCCCTCCAGACATTAAAATGCAGGCCAAAATAAGTCACAGCAGAACATCTCACCTTGGGGCGCCTGTCAGTACAAACACAAGCAAACAGGTACAGTAATAAAGTCCCAATCCTGCAAATGCTTCTCCCTGTGCTTTGTTTAAAGCACGTGTGGCTTTACTGATGCTCATCACAAACTAATAGCATTAAGCACAAAAGCATGTGCAGGACTGGGACCCAAAGCACAGATCCCTAGAAATAAAAGAGAGGCTAGAATAAGAGGCCACAAAATAATCGCAACCAGCCCTTCATTTCCCCATGCGGCCTCTCAAACAGCTCAGCTCAGGTCTTTCCTATTTAGAATCAAGTTTAAAAATTAAATTGAAATCGAGTTAAAAAAAAAAAACAAACAACATGCTTCAGGACACAAATGTGTTTTACACTCTAAAAGTCTCCATACAACGGTACATAGTTACTATGGAACTGGGTACTGATTAAGTAAAACAATAGCTTTAGCTTAAAGATCAGGTGGCCTCGAGATCAGAAATGAGTGTTTGAATGGCAGCCAAGTCTAGTTAAACGCTAATGGTCATCCGTGCCTCCTTCCGAGAGCTATGTAAACATGACCCCACAAAAAGGCCACAGGGTAACCCTCCCTTGCAATATCTTCCCTGGCTTCTGCAAGGAGCTAGGCTTGCCAGTAATATTTCTTTTGCACCTTACCTCGTCCAATTTGGTCTGTTTGCATGGAAAAGAAAATGTAAAGCCAAGAGGCAATTTCTTATGCTTCAGGTTTTTGGTCTCCGTGAAGTCTAACAGACACTCAGCAATGTAATCGAAGAGCTGCAGGAGAAAGGAGAGGACAGGGTCAGGCTGTACCTGGCAGGCAGCGTCCAAGCGCAGCACCACCACAGAAGACCCTGCGTGCCCTACCTCAGCTCCGTTCCCCTGTATGACCTCCTTGGGTGTGGGGTAAAACTTGCTCTCCAGCTGGCTGCTCTGCTTCCCGTCATCAAACACCTTCACCTGGTGGGCACGAAACTGGGAGCCACCCAGGTCAACAGCAAGGAAGTCACCCTTCTCTGCAACACAAGCGGGCAACTGTCACCGGTGGTGGCCAAGAAGCATGGCCCAGGTGCCATGCTGAAGGCCAAGGCCACAGCCCAGGGCCCCTGCCTCACCGTGGCCACAGGCTCGCCTGCCCCGTCACAGCAGGTCCGGACCCTGTGGGCCTGGGAGCATCACCAGGAAGGCTGAGAGCTGGCAACCCTAAGCAAGGGTATCGGGTCCCTCCTGTTAGCTTGCTATGCGGCAGCTAATTTCATTTTTATTTAGCAGTCTGGTTTTACCCACCCTACTCCTCCCACAACAGTATGCTTTCAAGCTGCAGAGGGATAAGCTTCTCAGCAAGAGAGGCCCAAAGGAATTGCAAAGCCAACCGGAGCACAGAGGGGCCACAAACCCGTACACCTGGAATGTGGGGAAATGAGAATTGGAGAGCGTTACCTACATCCAGTAAAAGATGCTGGATTTGCAGTCACATGTTGGCCCTACTGCAGAAGTCAGCTGCTAATCTGCCACCCAAAGTCAACCAACACAACAATTTCCAAAAACCTTTTCTTTAGGTGTTTCTGCACCGGTCTGTTTCTCAGTTGGCAGCACTTTTAGCTCAAACACGTTCTTCCCTAGCAGACACCCTCAGACGGAAGAACAGTTTGGCCTCACTGCTACAATAAAACAATTAACTATCTACGCACAGGACAAGGCCCTTCCCAAAAGGAAAATGCAGTGATATGTGCATAGCCTTGCATGATCTTTGTTCCACAGTCCAAACATCTGACTGAGTTTTATCAAATCTGGCCCTGAAAGGAAAGGAAGCAGAAAATTCTACCTCTAATATCATGGTCAGATATCTGGGTTACTCAGTATACTGTGACATTAGTCAGAGCATTAATCCCTAAATGATTAAAAACTCATGATGCTCCATATGGGTTATTTCAGGTAGCAACACTGAGGGCACTGAAAAATCTGCAAGTTTGTTGCTATTGCAAATGGCAAAATCCAGCCAAGTTTGAGGTGTTTAAACCTGATGGAGGTTTTGTTTGGAAACAAAATAAGGATTTTGCAAGACAACAAAAATAGAAAAATCAACGTGATACTTAAAATAGGCAGCGTGTCAGTAAGATTTGACTCTGCAGCATGTCTTTGACTCAGCGGAAAGGTCACGCAGGCCAGGAGAGCATCGTCCGAAGTTGGCCTTGAGGAACATCAAGTCTTCCAACAGCGATGACACTACACACAATTTTCCAAGTCTCCTGACCTCAGGGGCTCCCTGCTATTTCAGGACATGGTCAGTGCCCTGTGAGACCTTAGGACCAGCTAATACTTCCGTTTTTTTAAATGAAGGTAGCAGCAAAAGGAAAAGTGCCCAGTTCCAGCCAGGCAGTTCCAGGGGACTGTATATCATGGCTCTCAGACATCCCTCATTTCAAGAGACTAGCCTCCAATGTGTCCTTTATGCCATTAAAGCTGTTATCTCTCATTTAATTGTAGGAAAATTACCTTCAGAGGGAATAAAGTCTTGTGGAAACAAGGTACAAAGCAAACATTTCTTTTAAGCTTCCTTCACAGCTGTTATACACCGAGTCCTGACCTAAGAGTTCTGCACAGACTCAGTTAAACCTGGGAAAACCACAATTTTCTGTCAGCCTGCACTGCCAGGAGCCAGCTGAACCAGGAGAGTTATTTTGGATGTGCATACTTCTCCAAACAAGACAGGCTTTTAGATCCTACCTCATCTCACATCCTCCCAGAGGACACCACTGCACTTTCTCCCTCTCTGTTTATGTCTCAGAGGAAACTGGAAACAAGGCGCCAGCTGCAGAAGCAGAGCAGGCTGCTTCCTGGCAGACCCCAAGCAGAAGCAGGTTCTCCCAATGCAGAAGGCAGGTCAGGGCAGGAGGGGATCACTTTTTGGGGCAATAGAGAAAGCAGAGCAGAGCGTACTCTCAGAAGCTGAGAGGAGATCACAGCTCCGAGAACGCAACTTCGGTGCCACTTGCCACTTTGCAATTTGAGGAGCTTCACTGCAGCATCCTGCATTCCCTGCAGCTCCTGCAACGCCAGGGCCGCGGCACTGCCCGCATCCCCACACCTGCAGCACACTGCACTGCAGAGTCTGAGCTGTAGAGGCTGCCCTTGCCGTGTCCAGCCACAGCTCCTGCAGCAAGGCCTGCGCTAGGTACAACAACATTCGCAGATGAAAGAGGCTGTTTTCTGAGCACTTACTAGGTCCTTTCCTCAACCAAGCAGCACTAGGTCAAAATCCACCTGGTGCAGAGAAAAAAACCCTCTGCCAGCACTCCCCCAAGGTGTTGTCTCCTCAATACACACCTGCTTTCTCAACACGAGGCAGGCAGTAACCCAAAGCCTCTGGCTGCCCTGCATCTTCGCTGTGCTGTCCTCCAGTACCGGCAGCAATCATCCGTCATCTTCCTAAACCAGCACTGCCGTGACGGAGCAGGGGGAACTCACCTGAGCCATCGGGAAGCGAGCGCACAAATGACGGCAGCATTTTAACTGTTGCCGTGGGGTTGGTGTCTCTCCCCAGGCCCTTCACCATCTCGGCCTGGAAGCGAGCCATCACGTCCAGCAAGACATCGTCAGAGAGGCGCATGTGGTACAGGTACCTGTCAACCTGGAAGGATGAAAGGTGTTACTCAAGAGGCCCGTGGGCTCCTCAGTGTCTGCAGCTGCCTGGGATGTGCACTGCTTTCACACTACAGAAGGACTCTCCTTTGTACTGCGGAGATAAGCAGAGAAAACGCAGGAACTTCCTAGACACTTGGACTAGTTTTCTAGCCATGAGGGGTTGCAGTTTGGCATGAAGGACCTGAAAATCCTGAACTCTAATTCCAGCAGCATCCAGCATTATGCTGGACAAGAATCACTATGCTCATTCCCACCCACCTGATGGACACGAAGCTAAACAGATCCTAAGGAGACAAAAGAATTCCTTCCACACACATAGGACACTGAAGGTGAGCATACCACCTACACCAACCCCACCGCTCTGATTCTATAAGTTCATTTCATTTTTAACCTCAGCACCTAAATTCCCATGATCATCAGCGCAAGCAAGCTCCATTAAAGCATCATTAGAACATTTACTCTTATAAAAGCTTAGTTTTGAAAATGTTTAATGCAGCCTTGGTGAATTACTGTTCAAAAGGTTAGCCATTTTTTCTGATGGCTCAATAACCTGCCAACATACATAAGCCCATGAGACTTGCTTGCGATCCTGGCAAGCTGTTTTTACACCATCCTCTCCTCCTATACATTTAATGAACTACAACTGCAAAGTATCTCGACCTGGTGAGAATCTGACCTCACTGAGTCAGGTCCAGAAAATGCCATCAGTACCCAAGCGTGTCAGCCACAACCTGAAAACATCTATTCAGCTACTGCTCCACTCCACAGACAATTAGCTTTGTTGGCATGCCAGGCTGGAGCTCAAAGCCTTTTTCTCACTCCAGCTCTGCCCTCCATTCTCTTGTGATTCTACGATTACATCTAAAACACATTTTTGGGTGCAATCAATATCCTTTCTTAAGGGTCTGTAACTTGCAGCGTACATGAAAACAGAAGCCCGTTCAATTTAAAGGGAATCAAAAGCATCTGTGAAGTAGCAGACACTCATTCAGACAAACTGGTAGAGAAGCTAATCAGTGCTTCTGTACAGCTTCATCAGGGCAAAATTTAAGGTTTTCTTCTTCAGAACCACACACTGGTTGCACTGACATTTACCTGCAGGGCTGGATACACAGCTGTGAGTGAGGTGGCCTAGAAACTACATAGCTGGGTACAACAAAGGATTAACACAGCAAAATAAGAATCTGTCAACATCCAAATGCTTTTTCACTGGGGAGCCAGACTTTAGTGCTGTATGAACAAACAGGACACAGGCATAATAATTCTGTGCTCCAAACAGCTGGATGTCCCTTGAGGGTAATCCATGTTAACAGCTTACTCCCCACGACATGAGACTTGGGGCCAGAGGCAGTGGGGAGATGCGGGACAGCTTCCAACGCTTCGTTAGTACAGACACTCAGCTCTTGCACCATGGGCTACATTATTAGGCTGTTTTATCCGTGCAGAGCATCTCATCAGTTGGGAAGTCTGGAGCGTTGGGAGAACATGCACAAAATCAGTCCCACTGGCACCAAGGTAGGATTTAAAAAGCAGCATTGTTTAAACAGAGGAGAACACAGGCTCTGATAAATTGGCCTCTTCTGCAATTGGGACTGGCCACCTATATTAACGAGGCACAAACTAATTACCTATTCACAGTCCCAGTCAGCAGTGACCCACCTGAGAGAGCAAGGACCCTGAAAGTTAAGTCCAGCACTTACCTAAGAGCAAAACATACACACACAGAGGAGAAAGTCTTAAACTACAAGATGCAATTGTCAAGAAGCAGCAGCTGCTGTAGGATACAGCTGTGCCATTATTAGAGGTCATTATTTAGATCTTTCTTTGTAGCCCTCATTTACAGAAACACTTGATTTCCTCCAAGGCTTTTTTGAGGGCCCATCACTGCCCAAGCACCTTTTCTGGGCATATTAAAAAAAAAAAAAAAAGCAATGACTGGGGACATACAGCACTCACGCACTCTCACACAGACCCAAATAACCTTATGACAGAAGTCCCTGTATAAAAAAAAACCCTAAACAGTAATAAAAATGACCATGTCTGTTTGCAGAGAACACGCACTAGCTCCTTGCTCCCCACAGAAACTGCATTCCCCACCCTGTTTAACTACAACTACAGAAGGAGACAGTCCTCTCTGAGGAACCAGATAAGGCAGAGCCCAGGAAAGCCTGCTGACTCTACAGCCCGATTTACAACCAGAGCAAGGGCCTGCTCACATACCATTTGCTTGTAAACACAGGAATGGCCAAGCTGTGCCACACCAAACTATCCCGCTGCCTCCCTCCCACCGCAGAAGGACTGTCCTCGTTTTAAAGTGTCTTGCCTCAGTTATGGAAACAGCAGTGTTTTCATGGGCAGGAGGCTCTTGTTCTTGCCCCCAGAGAGCAAATAAGCCTGGGGAGGGAGAGGTGGGAAGGTATTCCCTCTTTCTAATTAGGGAGAAATCAACTCTGCTCCATACAGCCTACCCTGGGCTCCTTAAGAAACAACTCTAAAGAGCATGTGGTTTCTTGCCTTCAGGCAGGGCTGGTTTGCACCTAGTAGAAAGATTTAGGTTTTTTAATGGCTTCACCAGAATCCCTCTGCCCTCTCCTCTCTACTGTCCTCACTTCAGGGAAGTTCTCCCTCAACCACACTCTGGAAGTTTCTCTGAAGAGCCCACTGCACCCAAGCACTGCTCAAGGGCTCTCTCTTTCTTAGTGAAAAGTAAGAAGAAATCGCACTATCTAGATGAGAGATCTTAGATCAGATCCTCACACAAGGAAAGGGCACTGGGGTCCTCTTCTGATCATATAAAACTCTTGGGATAAAAGGGCTAATGACCGAGACAAAAGCATCTGACTATTGAGATACCAGGACCTCTCTTGGAATGCTCTTCAAGGCAGAATTAGTAGAAGCAGTGCCCGTAAGAACAAGCCACCCCACCTTTAAGCAAGGGCACAGAGAAGACAACCCAGTGTTGCTCGCTTTGCTGATGAGCTCAGCGGTGCAGGCAGATCTACCCACTGGGACCTCGGATCTCCTGCACTGCCACGCGTCTGCAGACAGCCCCGCCTCCAGCTGGCTGGAAAACAAGAGGACAGAGCCTGGCAGCAATGGCCACCAGAAAGTATTCAATGGAGACGCCAGGAGAACAGAGGACCCGCAACAGACGTGTCTAGAAACCAGAGGACCTCTGACCCAAGAAGCTTACAGGTCCCACGTGGTCGTACGACGAAGAGCCAAAAGCCCATCGCAGCATGGCAGTGAAAGTAGATTAGGGAAGAGCAACCATCAGGCAGCTCATTCCCAGTACCGACGGCTTCAGACCTGGGCCATCTTGAGCTTTTCCAACTGCAATTAAAGGTCACATCTACAAACATCAGAGTGATCAGCTGGGTTTGGACAACCAGAGGGAAGGCACAGGTACTTTTCCCACACCAACACTAGTTGGAACTGTCTCTTGAGTCCCAGACCTGGCCCAAAGACCCCAGGAGTTTTCCCTACCCCTGCTACAATGTGAGTGACTCCAATTCCTCCTCAGCTTTAGAAATCCCATCCTTCATGCTACACTTCCAAGAGGTTCCTTTCTGCCCTCTGGACTACACCACACCACGCCAGATAAAAGTTTAAGCACCGCTTTTCTTTACTGAAGATCATTTGGTCCACTACTGGGAGAGAACTTAAAACTGTGCAGGGAAAAGCACCAACCAGACCTATTTTCACACTTATCAGACTGTTTAGGGTCCAAATACTTCCTACCCCATTTGGCTGTATGGCTTTAGTAGATAACACCAGTATCTAGTCTGCATTACGTGCTGCAGACCCCACAGTATCTGAGTAACACAGTTCTCAAAATAGGAATCAGCTAACGTTGCATCTTACCTTTTTTATTTGATCCTCTTTTAGCTTTGTGAAATGGAAAGCTAGCAAGTGGACGGCAAACATTTTCTTGAAGCGGATGGATGAGTCAGTAGTGACAGAGCTGCTGTAAGTAACTCCAAAGCGACAGGTCTTTATTCACGAAGCTGGAGCTAGAGAAACTTCAGCTGAGGCATTTCCCCCAGCGTGAGATAGTGGAGTTCCTGGGAAATTGAGTCCAGAAATAAATCCATCCAGTGTGATTGGTTCAATGATTAAACTTCTGTCTCTTTGTATCACCCCCCCCACATCAACCCAAAGTCCCTCCCTCCCCAGCTACACACTTCATTGTGCCAGAGCAGGCACCTGGAGAGCTGCCAAGCTGAAGGGGAGAAAAATCGATTTTGTTACTGCCCCACTTGGGAATTGTTACCACTTCGCAATGTAGTTGCTACGCAGCCTGCCCTGCTTCACCCTGCTCCGTTCCCGAGGGGCTGACAAGCTCCCACCAGCACAGCATGCAACAAAGTCCTGCAGGGAATCTGGAAAGTTAGAGAGGATTTTAGGTTTCTTCCCTCTGCTCAGCACTCCCACTTGCGAGACAAACTCTTCTGCATGAATTAACTCCGCTCTAGTTCCACACAGTGCACCCTTATCTGCAGCTTTTTCCCAATTAAGCTTCAGCAGTGTAAAGGAGCAAACACACAGACCCCTGCCCCCAGCTGAAACGCCTCTTGCGCAATTTCCAGCAGAGAGGTTTTGTACAGATTATTCTCCCTTCACCCCTCCTGAAGACAAGGTTTCAGGCCACTGCAGATCCTCGGTATTGCGAAACCTGGGGAGGGGACAGATTTACCTGGCAGCCAACAGTGCTGATATCAGACTGCCTTATTTGACAAATGCCTTTAACTGGCAGCACAGAGTGCCTCCAGCAAGAGCAGCTTCCTTCCACCACCAGAGCTGAATTGGACACAGCCTTTAACTATTACACTCAAATGTTCATTCTGAATACACAAGTGTTTCCAGGATTTCGTCACTGTATCAAGTGATGTGGACTATGGAAACATCACCCAAAAGGAAACTGGGTGAGATGTTGACATAAAAGGAAACAAAAAAGGGGGGGGGGGGAAAAAAAAAAAAAGCATTCTCATGAGGTAATTAGAGGCTCACTCTTAAACTACACCTATACTCGGTGTGTTTTCCTCTAATTAGTGTTCAGTATTTCAGCTGGAACACTTACTGCACTGGTTGGTAGACAATCGCCACCCAAAATTCTGCAGAACAAGATTACAATTAAAATTGTTTTGATAAATTAGAAAAACAGCCTCGGGGCAGGGGGAGAAGGAGGAGATGGAAGGGGTGCCAAGTCATGGGAGGAAACAAAAAGAACTACCAAGCAGAAGTAGAAATTTGCCTACATGGATCCAGAGCAGGGCAGAAGCAGCCAGTTAGCAATAAAGGATCTCAGGCTGTATCAATTCACAGCCTAAAGTGGACCCAACAATCTCAGGCTATTGTAGAAAAGCTGCGATTGATCATCATGCTGGGCTGTATGCACGGGAGTATAATCCACAGACACATGAAACAACACTCAGTTCTAATACTCTGCACCAGTCTCAGTTCTGGCAGCTACAGCAGGTCAAGAAGGCACGAAGCAAAAGGAGATCGCTCTGCTGAACATCAGGAGCAGTCACAGGTTACATTTTCTCAGCCTCTGATCACGAGGAAAGACTGAAAAATCTGAGGGAGGGGAAGGGAACTCCCACTGCAGAGACAGATTGTACAGAACCTCTGCTAGGAAAGGTTGAGGTCTTTCTCTAATCTTTTCTTTTCTTTTTTTTTTTTTTTTTTTCTCCTGCCTCTGGACACTGGGAGATCCCGCCAGCTCTATTTATTTTCCACTATTCTAGAACAAGAGTAAAGCAGACAGAGTGGCTGAACAGTCCATAAATAGGGCTTGTTCTAAAATTAGGCCTTTGATCTTCAAGAGAAAGGGAGAAAAGAAAGAAGAAAAAAGCCAGGCTACCAGCCAGAAAGCACGGTTCACTTCTCCTGTATTCATCTTTTAATAACTGCTGGCTCATTAAGTCAGACACTGACTCCCAGAGGGACTGTCTCTTTCCTCATTGTTTACCCATGCCATCCGAGTCACAACCCCTCTGGCCAGCAAAATTGAAAACATCACCTTTCAAGCTCCATCCCACTTTGATCCAGAGCTCATTGTGTCTGTAATACAGTAGATTTATTTTTCATTCTCTCTTTTCTTTCTTTCTCTAACGGATGCCACTGGAAAAGGGTCTCAAAGATCTGAACGTTACTAAACTGGCAGCAAGCTCTGTCAAATACCTGACATGTCAGAATCACTGCGTAACTTGTTCACTCATCCCTGGTGCATCCTAGCTTCGGGCAGGCTGTTGTGCAAGAAAAGAAAAGACATTATCTCATTTCCACGCAGACGGCAGTTCAATGCACTAAGGGCCCAATACCCAAATACGTTACAGCCATTTTGTACATATTCTGGCCAGTACAGGGGAAACAATCCAGAACCAAGTGAACAGATCAGCTCCAACTGCATGCGGCTTGGAGGCTTGAGGCAATGGTGGTTTTCCCTTTGTTTGAGCTGCACCCCATAAAAGTTAGTCACAAAGCCTCACTTCTTCCCCTTTTGCAAGGGCCAGCAAGACTTTAAAATTGTAATACCCCTCTCTTTACTTTTTGCTCCTACAGTTCTCCCTCCAAACCCTATCTCAAGGCACAATGGAGAATCCCGAAGAGGCTGGTGCTCACGTAGCCCATTCGCCTGCCACAGCCTTGCAGTCAAAGGCCTGCAGAGATAAGGAGCTCAGAGCTACAGTGGAGAAATTCAGAAAAATGTCTGAGTGCATCACCAGTTACCTCCAGAAAGAGGTACCATATTAATAATCATTTTATTGCTGGAGAAACACATCTATCTTTGGTGAGGTATCAGAGGCAGTGGCAACACTGGTTGCTGAGTCTGGCACCCAGGTTAACAAGTGGACAAGGCTACAGGTGAGAGTCATCAGGAGAAATCCTTTCTTGTTATAGTTTGTGCTTTCAAGACCAACCCTTAGAACACGTTCCCTTCCCAGTAGCAGGAGCTTCGTTCCACATTACATTCTCAAAGCTCAGGGGTCCCCGCATCCGTCCTGTGTATGCCCCTCCCAGGGCAACATCAGGCGGTAAAGTAAGGCAGAACACCTGAGTGGACTGACTGGAAAACCACTCCAAGGATAGACACTATTTAGAAGAGATGGAGACAGCACAGTCAGGAAAGAGCACACTGGCTTAAGAGAAAGAAGGCTTTCTCCAAGTAGTGCTTTTACAATCAGTATTTCACATTTGAAGCCTAACAAGAAAACACACACACACAAATGTGAAATCAATAAACATCCAAACATCTATAACATGAATGCTGGAAATTCATCTGGAAATGTGAACATCTGAAACAAACAGGTCTGCAAATGTGATTCCCAGATCCAAGTGAACAATGTTGTTGATGCTTTTTAAAAAGAAAATGTTTCAGCACAGCCCCATGAAGAAGAAGCTGCTCAGTCCTCCCCCAGGGGCTTGCTTGTACAGGACACATTGAAAACGTGCAGCTGGCATAGCTCTGCACCACACCGGTCCGGATTGTACCACATGGGACCAATTTGGTAGCTATTCTAATGGGAGTCAATAACAGCCACACCATTAGCTCAGAAGAAAAGAAAACTTTCATAAAAAGTCAGCCTGGAAACGCCTGAATAAACTTCAGAGCTCTTAAAACAGTTACTATGGAGTCACTATGGAAACAAGCAATGAGTTAAGCCAAGTGCTAATCTCAGCAAAATACAAAAAAGAATGCTTATAGTCATTTAGCTTCCTTATTGCAAGGCTTGCTGCTCAAACACAAGGCTGGCTTATACCCGAAGTCCCAGCCACTCTTTCCTAGCTCAAAAATATACACTAGTACGCAGCTTAGCATACAATTAAAGGATGAATTTATCAAAACAGATTAGAAACAAAGTACAGTAGCAATGCGGGTCTCCTGCAAACCAACCCCACACATACTGGGGGAGAGAAAACAGAGGAGTCATCCTCGTATTAGTGTGGTTTTAAACAGCGGTTTGCAGATTCAGTCAGGAGTTTGCAGTCCAAGGGGTAAGTGGGCAAATGCATGCTGTCAAAACCTGTCTGCAGGCTTGAGCAACTACAGCTTCCCTTCGAGTCTTGTCAAGTGCAAAGGACACGAGGAGGCAATCGATACCACTCAACCCCGTAATCCACATCACAGAAGCTATCTGACTAGTATCCAGCGGAATACATTTGCAAGGGTTAATTGCAAACTCGCATTCTGTGCAAGTCATGGTGCTGTTAAGCAGCGGCTGTCAGGGCTCTGGGAAAGCAAAGCAGAATTACTCATCCGCAAAGCAGAAAATTCAGGACATTCACATGGCCGTTGCCACACATACAGAGCTGCTTGGTTTTTCTTGGGGGAGGAAAAAAGAATGGGCTTTGCAGGGGAAGGACCTAAAACTTTCCCTTCCCACCAGTTGGGTACTGAAATCAGCAGGGGGATCATGCAGAGTAGAAACATTCACACACCGCTTTGCTTTTTAGTAAATAATGGGAGAAGAGAGGATGAAATACACTGAAAACAGCTGTTAAAAGTATTATTCAAACTGCTGCAGACTTATTTCTGAACAGCATCTTAGAGGACTGATACTAGGAGGAAACAAAGGGGATTCAGAGCAAACTTTCAACCTGCAGAAATATGTGGTTGATTTTTTTAGAAAGTCAGGTAAAGCGAAATTCAAACTGGCTTTTAAACGAATCCCAACATTAACAGAAGCAGGATCTGCACTTTTATATAGCCAACCCCAGAAATACGGTTGCTGCAGCATTATTCTCCTCAGGCAGCCCCAGCAACACAACCTAGTGCTGAAATCCATTTCTGTGAATACACAGCAGTTTCAGCATCTGATTCTTTCCACTCTCCAGTATCCCTGCTGGGAGCTCAAAAGCTGCCCATGCCAAAAACAAATGACAGAGCATCTGGCACATGTATGAAAGAGGCATAACCTGGTAGGGCACTGTCTTAAACATTATTTATCAGTGAGACTGCATCAGGAAAATAAGTCATTTTCCTGAGAACTTAGTTCCAACAAATTAAACCTTCCTCCAGGTGGCAAGCACCTAACTTTCCCAGTTTATGATAGTCAACGATAAAACAGGTATGTGGAAATACTACTGACACAAATGCCAACCCACAAGCTGTTACTTAAACTATAAGCTGTTACGTGAGTTTAAGTCAAATATTTAATGTATTCTCTCAAAATTTAGGTATCACAAACTGGTATATGAATCAAAAAAGCACTTCAGAAGTGCAACAGAATAAAATAATTTGTATGAAACTGAATTAGAAAAGTCAGGAGAAACAGACACCTGAATTTCTCAAAAGTAAATAAAACATACCTATGCCTCCAACATCTCCTCCTCCCACCCAAAAATCATAAACCAACATTTTTTTCTCTCTTCTCCCCCCAAACTTTTCCTCAATCAGTGTGATGAGTTTTCCCTAGGAGAAAGAATACAATTTAAAGCGCAAGGACAGATTTTGCTTTGTTTCAGTAATTACCCCTCA